TCCTCCATTGACTCCGCCACTCCGGCCACTAGGGGTGGGCACGGTCTGGGTCGGTCAGGTAATTGATAAATTTTCACGAATCGCTGATTACATTTAACAGGTAAGTTTGGTCCAGGTACCAAGTATCGAAATAGGAACCTTACCTTGCCTACCCCCGTCTAAAATGGGTCTATTCGGTTCAGGTTCTCGGTTCTTAAAAATTCCGCTACATTAACAAAATATCTAGTAGTGAATAAAGTTTTCAAACTAATTATATCAAGTATCAATGTCACCATAATAAAGTAAAAATTTAAAATAAGAATATAAAACAAAATTTCGAATTAGTTGAGTTTAAAAAAAATCCCAAAATACTGCTGGGTTAACCGTGGTTAAGGAAAGTCGTCTCTTGAAATGGTGGCTCTTCTCTTACTGTACAAAAGTCGCCACTTGAAGTGGCGAGTCTTCTCTTACCATACAAAAGTCGTCACTTCTCTCATTGAAAAAACTCGAATTAGTTAACAAAAAACCACAAATGTATACATAAAATAACACACAACTACGCAAATTAAATAACACCAAACTTTGAAATAATGTAGAAAACATTATACGTCGTCATCCATAATCTAAAAGGATATCACCACAAAGTCATAAGAAATTAGACTAGTCACTATACATATATGCTTAAGAAAACTATTTAAACCTTAATAAATATCAAAATGTAAGTAAAACTAAGATAATTAAACTAATATCTTACAATTTATTGAGCAAGTCTTTGTTTAAAAAATAAAGAAAATTTGATGCATTTGGAATAAAGAATTGAGAATAATAATTTAGAAGTTTATATAGATTTAGAAATTCTTTTTAATAATTCATGAATATGAAAAATTTAGGGTGTTATTAGTATATTATATTAAATATAATAGAATGTGTTTAAAAATATATGGATGTTTGGTTCCTAAAATTTATAGGGCCCACCCCGCCCTGCCCCGTTTGGATTTCCCAAAAGTTGGATCCAATCCTAACCCGGGGGGCGACCGCCCCCCTTGGACATTCAATATTTTTTTTACCATATATGTAATATTTTCATAAGACTTTCATAATTTAATTATGTTCGCCCCCCTTAGCTTTTAATTTTCAAAATTAGTATATAGTCTTACATAATGTAATACTTAATTGGAGATTTAAAAGAAGAAACATCTAAAATAATTTACATAACTTAAACAAATAAACAATAGAGTAACTCGTTATTTAAGATTTAGGATACTTATTATATAAGAATTCCTAGTTTTGTAATGTTTAATTATCTTTATTAGATAACAAGTACAAGATTTTGTAAAACATATATCAAACAATATTAAATACCAGACACACTAATTACACAATTTTTAGATCGCATGAAATGAATCCAAAATATAAATATTTATAGACATTAGATTACATAATTCATTTACTTCTTGCTTTCTAAAAATAATTTACTGCATGGATAATAAACTTTAAATTATTATAGAATTAATAAAAATAATAAAATATAATATGCACCATATGTGTGTGTATGTGGTGCATATTATTCTAAAAATAACAAACTCATACATACTAGTATACTACTATTGTAATATTAAGAAAACTTCTCATGAGTCATGACTCACGACCACCCTCCTTGGTGGACAAAAATTACAATTCAATAACCGATTCATGAGGTTAAACAATGTAGAAATTATTAAAAATGTATTGGTTGATGTCTTTGTCATCGTCTAAACTTAGAATGTAATAAATTTAAATGCCGGTTCGGGATGTGCAAGTATTAATGTCATTTTTTGAATAAAAATAGCCGAATAGCCCTACAGTAGCAAAAAAAATTTGCCACGCTACACTAGGGGAAAAAATTTCACCCCGCTACACTAACAAAAAAAAAAATCACCCCCTACACTAACGAAAAATTTCGCCCCCCCTTGACTCAAAATCCTGGATCCGTCCCTGATGAGCATCGATCCACGGTTCTTGTACTTGTTTGCCCACCTCTACGGTGGCCCCCACCGCAAAATTGCCACCGTTTTGGGCAAATGGGCAAAACCAAAAGCTGCTACAAGAAAACATCAAGCAACCTGTTTACAAAGAGAGCACATTCCCCGAAAAGTAAACCTATGTTAATGAACAACTTTTTTTTGGGTTTATGAATAACCTGTTTACGCACAAAACATATTCAATGATGATATTTACCAAAAAAAGGTGTGATCTTTTTTTATTTTACATAAAGGTTGATAATAGTAAATTTGTCTGCTATGTCTAAAATTATTTTCTAACTCCAAAAAGGATTACACCCCATCCCTGAGGGCCCCACAACACCGACCGGACAGAACGATGGGTGGATGTAAGTTGGACTATAATCACAACCTGACAGATAGAGAGTGGAGCTTCGTCCACGGTACTTGCAGAGGCCCTATGCATTTTTCAGCATAGTAACCCCTTATCGCAGTTACCGGAATTTGAACTTGAGACCTAATCACTCCCTCACTATCAATGTCTAAAGTTATTTTGTGGGGGTAGGAACAGGTACTGAATATAATTAATTGTCTGAACAAAGAATTGTTCATGGATCACGCATGTTGCCAATTGTCGATCAAAATAATGGAGAAAAACAATGCCCCATCACGTACGTACATAATTAATTAATCGATCAGCAGCCCTGAAGTCGTACTAGATTCTTCAACTCTGCCCTACCTGAGGTATCATTTCTCGATTTGTCACCATTTTAGTGTGGTGTTTTTTTAGTTGGGAATTTTTAATGTCTTTTCTTTGGAGATGCTTTTTATTTTGGCAGTATTTTGGGTGATAAAAGTAATAATGCATGGCATGAGATTCAATTCCATTGGTCCACACCCTTCCACAATCATCATCCTCAAAAAGAATTTATTATGGTATATCTAAATATTTTATTCATACTCCCTCTGTCCCTAAAAGAATTTCCAACTTTCCCTTTTCGTCTGTCTAAAAAAGAACTTCATTTTCCCTTTTTGGCAAAGAATTTGTGGTTCACAGCATTTCTCTCTCCTCTGCACAACTCTCCACCACACAATTCTCACTTTCTTAATCAGCGTGCCACTTTATTTTGGAAGAACATTTAGGGACAGAGGTAGTACTTTCTAAACTGTATTCCATTTATTTTGAAACATATATCACGAGATGAGCTTGATACACTTAATAAGGAATAAGATTACTTTTTTGTCAAATACCTTCTGATCGGATGTCATCACTGTGACAATTTCAAATTTCAAAGAGGACGCTATAGGTTCGAATCTCATCCCAATTTAAGAATGTTGGCCTTAATAGAACGGATACTATGATTGGTTAGAAAGATTTGTCAAATAAGAAAAGGAATAAGATTTTTATTGATATATGAGTAAAAATAATTTGGATATTGAAGTGTTACATCTTTTAAATAGGACTATCACTAGTGGAAAAACGCCAATTTGCGGCGATTTTAATGCTCAAGGCGGTTATAACTATCATTTTGTTCCTGAATATATACATAGTATTGTTGAAATATTATTGAATTAGTCATCTTCCAACTATTCCTGATTAGGAATTATTATCACCATTATATAAATAATCAGGAAATCATAATTATGATTCTAGATGATAATTGTGTGGTACACAATTATCTTCTAATCCTAAGAAGTTTAGTTTTTCTCCTATAAATAGGAGTGTTCTCCTTCATTGTAATGACACTTCTAAAACACTTCTAACACTATTACAACACCATTATCACACTCTTAATAACATCTTTCTCACTAAGTGTTCATACTATACTTTCGATCTCTCCCTGATCTTCTGCTTATTTCCTTCCATATTATAACACGTTATCAGCACGAATTTGCTCCACAATTTTCAAAATCATCATCATCCCAGCAGGTGTTGCTAAACTCATTGAAGGTTCTGGAATAGCCTGTGTGATTCTCCCAAAAAGGACAAAATTAATAATTAAAGACGCTTTATACTCCAGTAAATCAAGGAGAAATCTTTTGAGCTTTAAAGATATGCGTCTAAATGGTTTTCATATTGAAACCATGTCTGAAAATTAGAAGGAATATTTATGTCTAACGACAAATAGATCTGGCAATAAATACATTTCTGAAAAAATGCCAGCATATTCCTCAGGACTGTATTATACATATATCAGTCCAATTGAGATAAATGTGGTATCTAAAATTTATGACCACAATTCTTTTATCTTGTTGCATGACCGTTTAGGTCATCCAGGCAGCACTATGATGCACAAAATTATTGAAAATTCACTTGGACATTCATTAACTAATGTCAAGATTCCACAATCAAGTGATTTTCCGTGCACTGCCTGTTCTCTTGGCAAATTAATTATCAGGCCATCTTTATTTAAAATTGGAGTTAAATCTCCTGCATTTTTAGAAAGAATTCAAGGAGAAATTTGTGGGCCAATCGCCCCTCTGTGTGAACACTTTCAATATTTTATGGTGTTCATTGATGCATCAACATGTTGGTCACATGTCAGTCTTTTATCGACTAGAAATTTTGCATTTGCAAATCCCCTTGCTCAAATTATTCGTTTGAGATCACAATTTCCGGATTATTCAATAAAGAAAATCCGACTTGATAATGCAGGAGAATTTACATCCCAATCTTTCAATGACTATTGCATGTCAATTGGGGTTGATGTGGAACATGTACATACACGAAATGGTCTTGCTGAATCCTTAATTAAGCAATTACAATTAATTGCTAGACCATTATTGATGAAATCCAGATTACCCATCTGCATGGGGATATGCTATAATGCATGCTGCAAATTTAATTCGGCTTAGGCCAACAGCATATCATAAATTTTCCCCATTGTAATTAATATCTGGTAAAGAACCAAATATATCTCACATAAAAAAAATTTGTTGTTTTGTATATGTACCAATTGCTCCACCTTATCGTACTAAAATGGGGTCCTCAAAGAAGGCTGGGAATTTATGTTGGTTTTAAATCTCCCTCAATTATTAATTATCTAGAACCAATGACTGGTGACTTATTCACCGCACGGTTTGATGACTGTCATTTTGATGAAACAATATTCCCAGCCTTAGGGGGAGATATTAAAGAAATGGACCCACGTACGAAAGATATTACTTGGAATGAAACAAATTTATCTTTTCTTGATTCTCGCACAAATGCCTCTGAACAAGAAATTCAAAAGATTATTCATTTACAAAATGTTGCAAACCAATTGCCTGATGCTTTCACAGACTCAAAGAAAGTGACAAAGTCACATGTTCCAGCTATGAATGCTCCTTCTCGAATAGAAATTCCTGCGGAGATTAGCGAAAGAACTCTTGCTAATGAATCTATGATACGTAAAAAACGTGGTAGACCACTTGGTTCAAGAGATTTGAAACCAAGAAAATTTAAACAACAAGTTGTAGTTTGTGATGCAAAGAAGTTCATTCTTCTCAAGAAGAAAATGAACATTTTGAAAATATCGGCCTTGAAAATAACATCAATAATAATGATACCTCAAAAGAGGATCCAATCACCTTCGAAGAGGTAAATATTCCAGATAAAGATAGAAACGTCGATAATTTTGAAATTTCAATTAATTACGTTTCTAATGGAATACACTGGAATAGAAATGATATTGATGTTAATGATATATTTTCATATGCCATCGCCACAGATATAATGAATGAACACGATGACAATGAGCCTAAATCTATTGACGAATGTCGTCGTAGAAATGATTGGCCAAAATGGAATGAAGCAATTCAGGTAGAATTAAAATCGTTAGAAAAGCATAATGTTTTTGGACCAATTGTCCATACGCTAAAAGGAGTAAAACATGTCGGTTTTAAATGGGTTTTTGTGCGTAAACGCAACGAGAAAAATGAAATCGTTAGATACAAAGCCCGACTTGTTGCCCAAGGTTTTTCTCAAATGCCAGGAATCAATTATGATGAGACGTATTCTCCAGTAGTTGATGCTACAACTTTAAGATTTTTAATTGGCATGTCTGTTTTTGAAAGGCTGCAAATGCACCTAATGGATGTGGTGACAGCATATTTATACGGTTCACTCGATACGGACATATATATGAGAATTCCTGGAGACTTTAAAATACCTGATGCTTATAGCTCGAAATCTCGAGATTTATTTTCCATAAAATTGCAAAAGTCATTATATGGATTAAAACAATCTAGACGCATGTGGTATAACCGTCTCAGTGAATATTTGATTAAAGAAGGATATAAAATGATCCTATTAATCCACGTATTTTCATTCAGCGATCCGAATCAGGATTCGCCATAATTGCAGTATATGTTGATTATTTAATCATTATTGAAACTCCCATTGAAATTGAAAATACTGCAAAATATCTCATGAAAGAATTTGAAATGAAAGGTATTGGGAGGACAAAATTTTGTCTTGTCATTCAAATTGAACATTTGAGAAATGATATTTTTATTCACCAATCAAAATATACTAAGAAACTTTTGAAGCGGTTTTACATGAATAAACCACTCAATTCTTTAATAATGTTTCGATCTCTCAATATGAATGATGATTTTTCCGGCCTTGTGAATATAATGAATAAAACCTTGGTCGTGAAATAATATATTTGAATGCTAGATATTTGAAGCATTAATGTATTTGGCTAATATAATACTTGACTAGATATTTCTAGCTTTTTTTATAAATTTGTTAGCCAGATATAGCGCAGGTCAAAGGACGTTACATCAAAGGGGATAGAACAAAGCGTACAACACCAACAATTTTCTCCACACATGATTTTGAGAAACAAGGAACGGTTGATGTCAAACAAATCAAGTCCTGTGACAATCCTGCTGATTTATTCACAAAGTCATTGGCTCTGAAGAAATTCGAAGAACTTGTCCACAAAATTGGAATGTATCGTCTTTGAGATATATGTTAAATTGAGGGGGAGTAATATAATGCACTGCACTCTTTTTCCCTTCGTCAGGATTTTTTTTTTCCCACTGGGTTTTTTCCTAACAAGGTTTTTAACGAGACAGTACATTATAATACTATGAAACTAATACCCCAGAATAATTAGAAGATGACCATTCAAGGGGGAGTGTTGAAATATTATTGAATTAGTCATCTTCCAACTATTCCTGATTAGGAATTATTATCACCATTATATAAATAATCAGGAAATCATAATTATGATTCTAGATGATAATTGTGTGGTACACAATTATCTTCTAATCCTAAGGAGTTTAGTTTTTCTCCTATAAATAGGAGTGTTCTCCTTCATTGTAATGACACTTCTAAAACACTTCTAACACCATTACAACACCATTATCACACTCTTAATAACATCTTTCTCACTAAGTGTTCATACTATACTTTCGATCTCTCCCTGATCTTCTGTTTATTTCCTTCCATATTATAACAAGTATCACATTTTTATGCACAGATTGATCAAGTTTGACACAAATTTTAACATTTTCAGGACTCAACTTCATGCCAAATAGCTCTTGACAAAATGGCATTGACACGAAATATGGCACAGATTTGACGTTTCTGTGCCAACTTTATACCAAATATTTTATGAGTTTTGACAAACCATTACCAAATTGGTTTGTAATTGAGATATATGTTAAATTGAGGGGGAGTAATATAATGCACTGCACTCTTTTTCCCTTCGTCAGGATTTTTTTTTTCCCACTGGGTTTTTTCCTAACAAGGTTTTTAACGAGACAGTACATTATAATACTATGAAACTAATACCCCAGAATAATTAGAAGATGACCATTCAAGGGGGAGTGTTGAAATATTATTGAATTAGTCATCTTCCAACTATTCCTGATTAGGAATTATTATCACCATTATATAAATAATCAGGAAATCATAATTATGATTCTAGATGATAATTGTGTGGTACACAATTATCTTCTTTTTTTTTTTTTTTTTTTTTTTTTTTTACTCCGGGGGGGTCTGGGGGAGGGGGGCTGGGGGGAGCCTGGAGTAATCAGGGCTGAAACTCACTCCATTGAGTTTCATACACTTGTGTGCCTAGCGGGATTTGAACACGAGACCTCTCGCTAGGCACGGTAACCTCGCAACCAGCTAGGCTGGAGTGCTTGGTTTAGTTTTTCTCCTATAAATAGGAGTGTTCTCCTTCATTGTAATGACACTTCTAAAACACTTCTAACACCATTACAACACCATTATCACACTCTTAATAACATCTTTCTCACTAAGTGTTCATACTATACTTTCGATCTCTCCCTGATCTTCTGTTTATTTCCTTCCATATTATAACAAGTATCACATTTTGATGCACAGATTGATCAAGTTTGACACAAATTTTAACATTTTCAGGACTCAACTTCATGCCAAATAGCTCTTGACAAAATGGCATTGACACGAAATATGGCACAAATTTGACGTTTCTGTGCCAACTCTATACCAAATATTTTATGAGTTTTGACAAACCATTACCAAATTGGTGTCAATTCCATTACTTTTGTGTAGTATGTGGTTAAAAAGGGCGTGATCGAGTTTTTTTACGTATTCAGAATAAACTTGATGACATTTATTTAGAAATCTAGAACAAAACACAAAACCAATTATATTAGGTTAACCATACAGATGGACTTAAATTATGAGTAATTGAGTAGTACGCTAAACTACTCTATGTCTCTATGTGTGTCTACTGTCTACAATTGCAGCTACCTTTGTGGTGGTGGTTGAAGACTTGAAGTCACTTAAGAAAATGAGTGATTGGTAGCAATGTATGTATGATGATATCTTCTTGTATGATATGCCAAGCCCTACCCTATGCAGTATGCATTACATTGGTGACAATAATGTTTGTCTTTATGCCATATAAGGTATTAGGTATGATGTCACATGGACTCAAAGGTCATAATTTATTTCATATATTGCTATCAACATTATGTAGGTTAATACAGAGTAGTTAGACATTATTGTTCTGATTACCAACATAATTAGACATAATAATTGGATCATTGGGTATAAAGTAGCCTTTGCTCTTGTATATAAAATACATTCTATTGTTTAATCTGTTTCTAAAACAACCAATAAGTGGCACACTGGCACACATACATCACTACCAGTTTTCACTACCTATACTTAAACCCCATTTTTAAATATATAACATCCGTATATGTATGTGATCAAAAAGACCTTAATTTAAATTTTCAAAGTAATTGATGACTTTGGACGTACGATCATTGTTTCAATTTGATCTATTTATCAAAATCATCCTTGCTCTTTCAGCCTTTCAGGAAGCAATTAGAAGTAGAAATGTAGAAATTTTGTATTTCACACTGATACGTTGTACGTACATACGAGAAACAATATCAAATACTCCTCCCAAGCAAACAATTGTGATTCTATTTTAGCTTTCTGGAATATATGATGCAGACCAATTCTGAAGACTCTTAGGGAGTGTTTGCAAATGCTTTTGCACTTAAAAATGCACTTTTTGAAGTGATTTTGGAAAAAGTGATTAATAGAAAAGTTGATAGTGTTTGAGAAAAAAGTGATTTTGAAAATTAAAAGTTGGTAGTGTTTGATAAAATATGTGCATTTTGTGTAATAGAAAAAGTAAAAAGGAGTTTTCGGCAAAAAATCGGGTAACGCTTTTTAAGTAAGAATTGTCACTTGATGAAAACACTAATTTTAGCTTTTTTAAGCCAAAAGTCGAGAAACAATTTTTTAAGTATTTGGAAACATACCCTAATTGACTATCTAATTTTGAATTGGTCAATTGGTCATTAGTGGTGGAATTAGAAATGAGAGGTTAGGGAGTCGGGTTTTAAAAATATTGTATTTGATGGTCAAAACTAGAAATTTCATTAAATTTTAATTACTTATTAATATTTAAATATTTATACATACTCGTATGTGTAACATCACAATTTTTTTCTCCACCCATGTTGGCCATCACATATAATTATATTTATACCCATATGTCGTTCTTAATTACATGCCGCAACTTTTGTGCCCCCAAGGCCCCAACACCTCTCTTATTTGAGACCACCAAAATGTACCATGAACAGTCGACTTGCAACTGGCAATCAACTTTCTCTTGAAAAATGTTATACCCACTCTAGCTCAACCGAGGCAGAGTGAGATCATTGGATTGAGGTCTTAAGTTCAATTCGTGACCGTTGCAGTGTTGAATTTCATCCGATTTGGTGACTCCTTGTACGCATCAGAACTTGAATCACCCAACTCAAAAACCATTTGAGATCATACCATGACTTAGGGTCTGTTTGCAACTGCTTTTAAAAAACCATTTCTCAGCTTTTGGCTTTAAAAAAGGACTTATTTTCTCAAACACTACAACTTTTATTTTTCTCGGCTTCCGCGTCAAAAGTGCTTTTACTTTTTCTATTACACAAAAAGCACTTATTTTACCAAACACTACCCACTTTTACTTTTCAAAATCACTTTTTTCTCAAACACTATCAACTTTTATTTAATCACTTCTCCCCATTTCATTAAAAAAAAGCACTTTTTTAAAAGCAGAAGCGGTTGCAAACAGACCCTTACTTCTCCACCATTCTATCGGTCGGCCGTGGGGGCGTTTGGGGTGGGAGATTCCACTTTTTGGATTGAAAAATGCTATAGGTACAAATAACCCATTTTCAGGTGTGCCACGATATTTTTCCATTTTGAGATGAAATTGTCTCTAACCTGACACTTACAAAACTTGATAGAAAAATGAGGTATGGTTCAGATTGGTACTCGAAGTTCATAAAAAGGGTCAAATAAGTACATATTGTCCGGCCGTTGCTAATTAGGACGGTTCCCAATGGAATTTTTTATGCAAATTTTTTGAACATCTTATTCATTAAATCTAGTTTAGTCATACCAAATTTCAGCTAAAACTTCAATCGGGAAGGCATTCAAATGAATTCTTGAAGATAACTGCGCTTTTAACTGCGCAGTTATCTTCAAGAATTCATTTGAATGCCTTCCCGGTTGAATTTTTAGCTGAAATTTGGCATTAGTAAACTTGATGAAAACGGTTAGCAACACAAGAGGGGAAGTGAATTGGGTGTGTGTGGAACCGTGGCATTTTTTCGCCGAGTTCTAGTGTGGGATAAAGGGAATTGCGAAATAGTAAAGTGCACAAGAATTTAACGAGGAAAAATCCCTTGGCTCAAAGGGATTGAAAAACCTCGACCTCCCTCGGAGGAATTTTAAACAACTTCACTAAACAAGCCTTTGAAAGAGTTACAAGAGTGATTCTCCTAATCTACCCTTGAGCCTCCCCAACTCTATCCTCTCTAGGAAGAGTTATGCATCTCTACCTTGCGGGTAGAGAGCCTCTCAGCTTTATCACAAAGCTCTCACACACACTTAACCCGAGGCAGCTACTCTAGCCAATTAAGCCTCAATATTTCAAGT